TATATGTGCATCCAGCATTACAAGGTCTCAGTTAAAACCTGTTTTGTTTAGGCCATTGATATACATACCGGTATAGATCATGATCAGAGAAGGTACAGCAATTAAAATAAAATTTTAAAAAAATGATTGAAATAAAAAAAAAAAGTGGAAATCATTGTATGTCCCCAAAAAACGAACACATTTTTTCTAAACTCAGTAAAATCATACTACACTTATAAAAACACAACCACTAATACATACTCTACCTTCTAGAACGTTGACCAGAAGTTTCACTAACAAACATACATGTACACTACTAACCACCCTGACACTCAGAATCTGCAACCTAAAAAAGCAGAACTTCAAAAGCACCAGACTTACTTGTTGCCATGGTGATTTGGTAACCGTGGTAACAGTCCTGATCACCCCAAACCTGTAACATTGAGAGTTGGACCCAGTAGCAGCACCACTAAACTTACATGTACAACTTACGCCACAAAACACACTGGCTTTTTGTAGTGTTGGAGGGTCCATTCTACTGTGGGCTAGTCCATTCTACTTGTAGGGAGGGGGTGTTACAAGCATTATTATGCAACTTATTGAGTCTCACCATCCACAAACAAACAAAAAAACAAACCGAAGGCACCCAAAATATAACCTTTCTGGTGGCAGCCAAAAGGTGGAAAAGAATGGAGGAATTGTCTAGGATACATTTTTTACATTATTCATTAGAAAAATGCACATCATTATACATTGCTACATTCATAGTAAAGCATTGATGACAACTGAGATTTTTGATAAAGATGAGAGTTGAACAGTTGAAAGCTTGGGTAGTTCATTATTTCTTGTGTTGGAAATTATAGCTCAACTTGACATTGAAAGGAACGGAGGAATGGTCCGGAGGAATGGAATTTTATTTTAACATGTTGAAAAATTAATCTTTGATAAAAATGGCAGTTGAAAAGTTGGGTAAGTCCAACTTTTTGTTTTGAAAATTACAGTTTAAACCTGTTTCAGAAGGACAACACTGACATCTAACCCCTAGTACAGAGGAGCTAGTGTGTTCCTGACAAAAAATCAAATCAGTGTGGCCTAAATATGGTAGCTTAACAGTTGATAGATGGGTAAACCAACTTTTTGTGTTGCAAATTACAGTTCAGACTTGTTTCATAATGACAAAATTAATCTAACCCCTAATTATAAGTACAGAGAAGCCACTGTGTGATAGAAAGGTACAAGTCAGGATCAGTAGAAGCTCCTGTCAGCCAATTTGTCAGTAACAGGTTCAGTTTCCCCCAAACTCCACAGGACTGCTGACCCATGGAGACCAGGGCAGGGCAACTTCCATTTATCAAACCTAACTCTTTAGGTGGCCACAAGACAGCTGTGGAATTGGCAACACTGTATCAACTTGGCAAAGATAGTATCAAATTGTCAAAGACAGTATCAAATTGGCAACACCGTATCACGTTGGCAAAGACAGTATCAAATTGGCAAGAAAGTATCAAGTTGGCAACACTGTATCAAATTGGCAGGAAGTATCCAATACACCATTTGGCTGTCAAAAAAAAAGATATCGGTAAAAGAAGAAAGCCTGATAAAAAAAGCCTAAAAAGACATTTAAAAAATAGCCTACAGCTCGACTAAACCCAAGCTGGGCCAGGGTTTGAAACATTGTGTGGTGAAAACCTATTAGCCAACAAGCATAACTGTTACAAGAAATTAGAGATCTCATATACTTATATAGAAATATATAAATTTCTTACATATTTCAGTCATGAAAAATTGCAGATTGTAGGGCAAAGACCATGCTTGGATCTCCGTCAACAGAGACTCTGATTGTGATCTATGGTACCAATTAACACGACCTTCAGAAGGGCTGCCCAAGGTCACAGCAAGTATGTGGGAAGTTTCTTAAGTTGTGGGATGAGTGGTCTGTAGGTCAAGGTCAGGAAACCAGCCCAGATGTTTGTTTTGGCTGAGGTTTGAGTTGTTCAAGATCACTTTTGCTACCAAATTTCAAACATCTGAAGTCAAATCATGCTAATAACAATCATCAATCAAAATAAAGACATTTTTACTTTGGAAAGTTGTGAAGAAGTTCTTTCTTCATGGGAAAATGCATGTGAAGAATCAGGGAGAGATTCACAATTTGGGAGCCTAGAGAATATTTTTCTGCAAAGACAGTCAGGACTTCTCAACTTCGTGTTACATGTACTTTGTATCAATGGATTGAGTAGAAACTCACGACTTAAAAATGGAAGACCACCTTAACACATTCCTAGCATCTCTGTCAACTGAGATTCCAAATGCGATCCCTAACAGTAGAATAAGTGATTCTCCCACATTGAAACTTTTACACTAACGTGAAAAGATTTTTGTTTCCTAACTACTTCTCTGCTCACTAGCACTTAAAAACCATCAAAACAGTTTATAAAAGTTCAGACACAACTACTAAATATTTTCACAGGATCCAGAAATAAAGGCCACTTGAAATGGATGCAAAGCAAATATTTACACTTTGTTCTACATTATTTATACTTGAGCTAAAACTAAGGGGTTTGTAGAGCAAGGCCTAGGGAAAAAAAATTGTGTTTCCTGTTTCAGTCCTGAAAAAAATTAGGGTCGGTAGGTAGGGATTATCTTTTCTTTTTCTTTTTTTTAGACTTCAGTAATATCTATATAGGGATCCAACTTGTACAATACAGTTTAACAAAGTAAAACTTGCATGAGGACACTTTTATTTTCAATGTCAATGTTAGAAAACCAATTGTGCAACGTTTCATCACTCAGGTGTCAGATCATGGAGCTAGAAAAGCTCGATCAGCTCAAAGAAAATGTCCCTTGCAGGGGTCCACCTCAAAAAAAGGCTAGGATCGGCAGTTTTTTCTAGGGTCGGTCGGGAAACACAAATTTTTTTTTACTAGGCCTGAACCTATTGCTTTGTAGAGTAAATTCTTGCCATGCAGGAGTTTTACAGAAGAAGTTTTGAAGAGCTCTTGTGCTGAGTGCTCGGCTAGTTCAAGTGTGTTATACAAATTCCCAGGGTGGAAATACGGTTTGGCCTTGTGTGGAGTAGCCTGGAGTATGTTCTGTATGGGGCAGAAAAAATCAGGAACTTGTTTCTTGGCATGTTTGATGATTATCAAGACTCTTAAAGCCATAATTTTACAAATTATCCTGTTCTACTTGCTTTTCCTAACATTGGAAGAAAATTTTACCTCAGTTTTCAAAGTTAGGAAGTTATATAAAGTTGTTTCTTGTAATGTTTCATGAATATCAAGATTTAAAGCATGATTACACAAAATTAATTTCCTGTGCCATTTTCTGTTTCTAACTTTAAAAGATTTTGCCTCATTTCTCAAAGGATGTGACTTAATCAATTCCAATATATTATTGGTCTAAAAAGCTCTAATAGGTCACATTTGATCAGTGCTTCCTTTGGGAAAAGCAATCCTTAACAAACCAACATCAGATGTGCCTTACCTTTTTAGTTCCAACTTAAAGTGACAAGCAAAATGGATGTTCGGATTCTGTTTAACGACTCACTGACTTTGTCTTGCCCTTGAACATGACCTCCGAGTTAAATAAGGGTCCTTCAAGTGGAGTAAAAATGCCTGGAGACGTCTTTATCTTACAGACACAACAGGTTCCTACTAGACACCCAACACTCCACAGGCCTGGCTAGTACTGTACTGTATTTCACTTCTACTCAGGATTTCTGAGAGAGTTCCCTATACTACTCTAACCACTGTGTTACTTGGCTAAGAGAATCATTTTTAACCCTTGTCCTGCTGACATTCCTGACACAATATTTTTCAATAATTTCATGTCTTAATTAGATCATAGACCCCCAAAGTTTTTGCCCTGCAGTGGCATAGTTACTTCGGAATCCACATTTGTTGTGTTTCGCTGCGGTGTGATGCGTTGCACGAGAAATATGCCCCAAATCGTACCTATACAGGGTGCTATATAGATGGTACTGTATGTGCAGAACAACAATTGTTGTGCTCTACAGGACTTAAATTATGTTCGCTTATGTTTGAGAAAGATGGACATGTTTGCAGTGGCGGCAGGTGAAGCAAAAAGACAGTTGGCGAATTATTTTTTCACAGTGATGATAAACTTTGCTGTACAGAAATGACCACAAAAAAACGTGAACATTAAAGTACTGCAAAAATATTGTGATTTTCTATATAGCATGACTATAAAAACTACAAACTATATTTTATTATATACTTCTTCTACATAGCTTCTGAGGTTTCAGAATCATGCTCTTGTAATCTGAGAACTGAAAAAATCACGGACTTGTAATCTGATGCCAGGAAACGTAATTCAATCCCTGAGAGAAACCGCACACTCGGCAAAACATCCGTCTTCCTCGAAACCAAAACAGCCAAAAACATGAGGATAAAACCTCAAAATAAACGTCCAGCTGATATCGCCATGGTAACCGGAGTAAATATTGACACTCCGAACTGACAGTCGGGTGATTAATTAAACTCTGGTATGAGACCAGACTGTGAATTACCGTCCGTTTAAACTTTTGTCGCTTCAACAACTCGGAGCAAACCAACAGATTTGTCAACAAACGTCTGCCAGGGGTAAATTTGGAAGGACATTCCTCCACTGAAGGGCAAGGCATTCTTGTCTCGGAGAAGGAAAATGCCAAGAAGTCTTAAGTTTGTGGTTTGATTGTCTTCCTGATGCTCCTTAATTCTTGTCAAACACTTAAAGAAGTACTAGTAAGCAGTGACTAAAGAAGAAAGCAGTGACTTACATGTAATCTATAGCAAGCAGTGACTTGACATAGCCACACTGCCCACACAATAGAAAACTACTAGTATGTGAATTCATATCCAGTTGCTTTAAAAGAAGAAAAGAAATCTTCAAGACCTAGATTAGATAGAATGTATTCTCTAGTAGTATAACATCATACTCCAATGTATGTATTTAGCTCCATGGGCATGAACATGCAAATAAAGATGAAATTTAAGAAAGACAAATCCTAAGGGACTTACTTCCGAACGTTGTTTGTTGTTGTTGTTCCTTGTTGTTGTTGTCGTGTTCGTCGTAGCCTTCTGGCGGGAAAACCTCGTCTTCCCATGATTCCTCGTTAGTCTCCATCTCGTTATCTGACGAATTGTAGCTGTCGGAGGTAAAGTCGTCAGAGTCTTCGCTAATTAACTCCTCGTTAATTAACTCCTCGTTAATGACTTTAACGACGTTCAGCCTCACTGCACCAATGGCAGTCCCAGCTACGTTGGTCACTTCACAGGTATATTCGCCAGCGTCACACAAATCCGCGTTGGTTACCGCTAAACACGTCCGATTTTCGTCCGATCGGATTGCGAACTTTTCGGAGGAGTTTAGATGTTTTTCGTCTCGAGTCCACCTGATTTGAGGCTTTGGGCTTCCCGAGAAACCAACCCAGAGTTCTGCGGTGTCTCCTTCCTCTACTGAGACGAAGTCAAGATGCTCCAACTTCGGCAAGACTGGAAAGAAAATAGAGAAAACTTTAGGTAAGAAATAGACCATGTGACAATTTTGGAACGTTTTGAAAGTTTAAACTCGTCAACTATGAACTCAGAGTTTAGTTGTGTTGTGTCGCCAACCTCTACTGAGACGAAGTCAAGATGCTCCAACTTGGGCAAGACTGGAAGGAAAACAAAGAAAACTTAAGAAAACTTTGAGAATCACTTGATCTGAGGTTTTGGGCTTCCCGAGAAACCAACCCAAAGTTCTGCTGTGTCTCCTTCCTCTACTGAGACGAAGTCAAGATGCTCCAACTTGGGAAAGACTGGAAGGAAAACAAAGAAATAAAGAAAATATTTAAGAAAGAAGTCATCACTTTCAAACTACATGTAATTTACCAAAAGACCCGCAGTCATGTATACAACAAAAGTTGATGTACAAGTCTTACACTGAAGGGCGGTGGTACCAGCTATATAGCTACAAACAAGACTAAATACAGTGACAAATGTACAGGGAACTTCCTTTAAATTGCCACAGGAAGCAGTTCTACAATCCTTTTAGGACTGCACCTCTTTTACAGCTACCAGTTGGGTGAGATTCAAACCCAAAACCTCCCGATCCACAGGCAAACTCTCCACCCGACCACACACTCCAGTGGAAGCTAGTGGATGTTTGTTTGCCAAACATTCCTTATCTTAGTTTCCTCACGATATCTCAGCTCCTTCAGCTCCAGACATACGTGTTTACTGTGTTTATAGCACAGACATCAACACTGGGCAGTGGAAACTGAAAACACTTCTGATAAACCAGTTTTTTAATTAAACCTACAACTTTAGTGTCACGGAAATGAAAAGAAACCTACAGTGGGTCTACTTGGAAGACAGAAGAAAGATGTCCAGACTTTGCATGCTGTACAAAATGACTAATAAACTGGTGGATGTCCCAACTACTAAGTACCTAATACCAGCCCAGAAGAGAACAAGAAATAGCCATGCCTTCAAGTACCAGAGTTATCAACCAAGGATTGAGGTGTTCAAGAATTCATTCTTTCCTAGAACTAGGGCAGTTACACCGGCTATACAGATACAGAACTTGTATCCTCTAGCCTCCATCAGAGAGGATGTCCCTAACAAGAGCTACGTACTGAGTTGAGTGAGGAAATAGATGTAAAATGCCTTTCCCAAGGGCATACTGCAACGGAGCCTGGCAGGGATTCAAAGTCAAAACCTTCTTTATTTCATCAAGAAATATTGATAAATGTACACAAGAAAACAGTTACTCATTACAAAAGATTTTGAAAACTGTCAGAAGTAGCATCCATTACTTCTCATCAGTGACAATCCATGCAGTTGCTTGAGTAACAGTGACTGTTTTCTTGTGTATTTCATTACCTGAAATTGTCTAACCTTCATCAAGAAATATGTTTTCTTTTTCATTTCATAACAAATTGGATTCATTTCAAATTGTCAGTATCCCTCTGGCAGGCTGTCAAAATGCCAAGACTTAGTATAAGAATTCGTGATCTATTATTATTTGGAGACCGTGTGGAAAATGTAACCTCCCTGACACTTCACCTATAAATATTTTGCCTCTTTACACAATATATAACCATCCTGATGTTTACAAGAGCACAGAAGTAAAACACTCAGATGTCAGACTATTGACGATGGAATAACTTCAAGGGTAGAAGGAACATGTTACATGTGCTACATCTATATCTTAAAGATCTCTTCTCTCTTTTTGAAAAACGCATCAACAAATTTACATAGTTTTTCATTTAGATTGTAGTTCTTGGATGACATAATATGTTTGAACAATTCTCTTTTCGGTAAGTCTGTACATTTCTGTTCTAATTGTAAGGAACTAATAAAAGATTACAAGAACGCAGGACAGAAACACTCACAAGCCAGAGCTATTAAACCTCTACCCAGGAGGGCTAACTAAGTCTTTATGGTGACGAATTATGCCCAATTTGTTTGATCATACTTAGTATACTGCTATTTTTGCCAAGCTAACAAATACACCTGGCAGTGGCAATACTCTAGATTGATCTAACTTCGTTGGGACTTGATTTTAGGATGGAAAGATTTTAGAGAAAAGAACTTGAAGGCTTTTGATGCCAGCGTATATAGTTTGATCATTCACACTTAGTCTACTCTTTTTCTTTTCGTGTTAGGATCTTAAAATGCTTGAGGTGTACCTCAGTGACTTCTCAAACAATTTAGCTACAAACTAAAGTGAGGAAATAGGTGTAAAGTGCCTTTCCCAAGGGTATATAGCTTTCTTTTTCCTCTAAGATTTGTTTAAAAAAGTCAGTTAAGGTAAAAAAAAAAGTAAGAGTAAACTAAAGCTTCTATTATTGTTTTTCACCTGAGTTGAGAGAGGAAAAAGAAGTAAAGTGCCTTTCCCAAGGGTATATATAGTACAGCATTGGAGCCTGACAGGGATTCAAAGTCAAAACATTGACATTCAATGCTCCACCTTGACACTTTAAACTACATGTATAATAAAATTTTTTAGACAGAACCTTAAACACCTGAGGAGAAAGTTCCCAGGTGCCAGGTGTGAACACCTGAACCACGTACAGGTGAGAACAAACATTATCCCAGGTTATCTACTTGTTTATCTAGCTGATTACAGGTAGCTGTTCCAATGTGGTTATCACGTTTTATAGTAGGGGTGTATTTTATGTCAGGCCTTGTTATTTCAATAACTCGGTTCATGGCTCTTTTAGGCAAGAAACTGATAAATGACCTTAGAAGTCGTTAAGTGACAGATTTAACAATACATGTCAAAAATGTCAGGATGGTTTAAAACTTTTAGGTAGTGCTGAAATCAGTCAGTACAAAAAGTGTAACTTGTTTCATGTAACTTAAAGTTTTAACAGTAAGAAAAACTTGATTATGACTGTACTCACTCTATACAACTGAGTGCACCAAAGCTTAAACTTGGTCCTTAGGCTTTGGTTTCATTATGTTTTTCAGGTTTAACATATTGTCAAAAAACTCCAAGAACCAACAATTTGAACTGGTGTGACCTAAAGTGAAGAAAAAAGGACCACAAACCTTCAAAATCATAACAAAAAGGCTGTAAAAATCTCCAACTCTTTGTAATGCATGTCCAAGACAGCTCCAGACTTGTCCATTCTATTAACTACAATCCAGCCAACTAGTGCCGTAATTGGGCAAACCTACGTCACAATTCCCACAGTCAGACTGTTGCCTATACTATGTTATAGTCAAGACAAATGACTGTTCATTCAAGCACAAGCCGTCCTGGTGTGTAAAGTTGTCCAATGGGTTACCTATAACTACTCATGCTGAAGGGTTCAGTCACTCAGCGTGAAGAAAGCTGCTATTGAGCTATGTTTGTACACTCCTGCTACATGTGTATAGAGGCTATTCATTGTATGATGCAATAAAAAGTAAAGCAGTTCAGTTCACAGCTGAAAAACTGGGCAAATTTGTCCAGCTACATGCGTAAGGTAAACTATGAAATAGAAATACAAAACAAATCTTAAAAGATCTGTCAGTATTTTCCTTTCATCAAAGTAATTTTAAAGTTAGTGATCGGAAGAAAACACTATTTCTGAATCAATAATTTTTAATTCTATGTATGTTACACCTTAAAATTGTCATCTGGCTTCTAACATCCCATAGCCTACGCCTAAAGACCTGACAAGTTTTGACATGGATACATGCATTATGTTTTTAGCATGTATAAAAGAATTTAAAGAAGATAAAACATTTAGCCTTAAACCTCTGACTGCAATCTTAACCAACAAGATCTCAACATTCTCTTACACAGACGCCAGCTTCTAGAGCAAAACCGTACAATTCCTCAGTCAGACAATGTGTTCTGTTGATGCCCCCGCTTACCTACATAAATCCAAGTCCTGCTGCCCAGGGTGGTCCCAAAGGCAGAGAGTCTCTATACTATATAAAGAGGGTAAGTCGATCTGGTACAGGAACGTCAGACAAAAGACTGGAGTTGTTGGGGTCAAGTGTGTCAGGCTGAGGCTTTGTGAGAGTCGAGGGTGTTCTGGGGGTGGGTTTGTGGAAATCACAAACACTTAGGGGCAGATCGGTTTCAGTGGAGGCCGAGCTACAGTGTTGTATCCAGAACCATGCCTAGGCTGTAGATGTACAATGTATCCAGAACAGTGCTTGGAGCAGATCTTGGATATGCGATAATCCAGAACTGATCCTATCCCTAACCCAAAATCTTAAACATTGTTATAAAGCTATTTATTACGTACCTCTGCTTTCAAATCGTTTTTCTACCTACAACTTTAAGTTCAACATTTTGCTTCTAAATAAATTGATTCTCTTCAGTGCAAAGAGATTATGTAAGTAGGATATACAGAGTGGAATAAAAATCAAAGCATCCCATGCAGAACTCTGCCTTCAAAGCATCTTTTCCATACCTTTTCGTAGTACCTCAGTCTACAACTTCAACATTTGTCTCTAATTCTGAGTCTTTTGTTTGCTTGAGTGAGAGCTTGTATATCTAAGGATGTAAATAAGGTATACAGAACTGAAGTGGCCACTTCAGTGAGAAATTTCCGACAGGAACCTTCTTAAGACATGAGTCCAGCCTTATCTTTAGTATTTCCGGAGTCTGGAGAAAGTCTAAAGCAGTTGTAGGTAAGGAAATCCCCCTGGAAACTCTCTTATCTTTAACCACAGGAGATATACTGGGTTCTTTAATACTCTTCAAGCTGAGGTTTAGGCTTTGGCTTAATTTCAACATCTTTTTAGGCATTTTATTAGGCTTTCTCTTCTGTATTAGTGTTTTTTTTTGCCAGTCAAATAGTGGTGCACCAATTTAATTTTGCACTGTCCTACATGCACCAATTAGACCTACTGTCCTTTAAACTAATCTCCAAGCAGATCTTTTGGTGGGGGTAAGACAGTATCAAATTGGCCAGTCTGTATCCATTTCCCGGGGAAATGGATACAGACTGGCCAATTTGATACTGTCTGCAAAAGATCCCCCACCAAAAGATCTGCTTGGAGAT